AGAACACTCTGCATGTGAGACTTACTGCTGAAGTTCTTCCTGAGATACTTAGGAAAAGTAACGGAAAGGAAAATGCAGAGATCTCTGCAAGAATGCTCTCCGTGTGCTCCAAGCATGAAGGAGAGGTTCTCTCAGAACAAAGAGTCACAGAGTTAACCCCATCAATTGACCAGGGTTCTGTATAACTGATGAGCTCAGTTTGTGGCACAGAGACACGGGTCAGATTCCCTTCCTCTGAAAGAGGACAACTATCTTGTCCCTCAGTTGTTTGGTTCTGACCCCGTAAATGATGGGGTTTACTGCGGGGGGCAACAGTATGTAGATATCAGCCACCAATATATGGATGTGCTGAGGGATGCTGTGTCCAAACCGGTGGGTGAGGAATGTGAAGAGGCCAGAGACATAAAACGCAAGGATGACACAGATGTGGGATACACACGTGTTAAAGGCCTTGAGCTGCGTGTCAGATGATGACAGCTTCAGTACCACCCACAGGATCATGGCGTAGGACACAGCGATCACCATCAGGTCAGCTCCTATCACTGCAAAAGCCACAAAGATGCCATAGGCAGCATTGACTCTGGTGTCCTCACATACCAGCTTCACCACGGCCATGTGTTCACAGTAGGAATGGGAGATGACACGATGCTGGCAGAAGGCCTTCCTATGGAGCAGGAAGCACATGGGATTCACCATGAGGACTCCACGCAGCAGCACCAGGCTCCCGAGAGCTGCCACCACCGGCATGGAGAGGATGCTGGAGTGCCGCAGGGGATGGCAAATGGCAAAGTAGCGATCCAAGGCCATGGCCATGAGCACGCCTGACTCCACTGCTGTGAAGGTGTGCACAAAGAACAACTGAACAAGGCAGGAAACAAAGCCAATCTCCCTGGAGCCCCACCAGAAGACAGCGAGCGTTTTGGGCAGCATGGATGTAGAGAGGACCAGGTCAGTGAAGGCCAGCATGGCCAGGAAGAGGTACATGGGCTCATGCAGGCTTGACTCTGTCTTGATGACGATGAGAAGGATGATGTTCCCCAGCACAGCTATGGCGTACATGATGCAGAAGGGGAAGGCAATCCAGAACTGCTCCTTCTCCAGCCCAGGAATGCCAAGCAGGAGGAAGGAGGGGGGGTGGGAGGCGCTGGTGGAGTTCAGAGAAGACATGAAGCCCTTCTTGTCTCTTGCCTACCCTCAAGGCTGCTGTCACAAAGCATCCAACACCCTCGAGGTGATGTGGTCAGCAGCAAACACAGACGTCAGGGAGACGTGGATTTAGAAGTGCAAGAGAGCCAGCCCTGGGACAGCTGCTTGCACTGGTTCGGGAGAGCACGTTTCCCACAAGTGTCTGTCAGTTCACAGAGTCACAGAATCACAGAATGGCCAGGGTTGGAAGGGACCTCAAGGATCATGAATCTTCAACCCCCCCCTGCCACATGCAGGGCCACCAGCCTCCACGTTAAATGCTAAACCAGGCTGCCCAGGGCCCCATCCAACCTGGCCTTGAACACCTCCAAGGACGGGGCATCCACAGCATCTCTGGGCAGCTGTTCAGCACCTCACCACTCCCTGGGTAAAGAACTTCCCCCTTCCCCCCCCACTTGGAAGTTCCCACTTACAAGTATCCCTGTCTGTCCCACTTCACCAAGTGTCTTAAGAATCCTAGAAGCATAGAATTGCTTAGGTTGGAAAAGACCTTAAAGGTCATCAGGTCCAATCACAGCCCAACCATACTCTCACAACCCACTCCTAAATCAAATCTCTGAGCACCACATCCATTTTTAAACACATCCAGGGATGGGGACTCAACCACCTCCCTGTGCAGCCCATTGCAGTGCTTTACAGCCCTTTCTGTAAAGAAGTTTTTCCTGATATACAACCTAACCCTCCCCTGGCACAACTTGAGGCCATTTCCCCTCATCCTGTCACCAGTGAGAAGAGACCAGCCCTGCTCTGCTGCAATCCCCTTTCAGCTGTTGGAAGAGAGCAGTAAGCTCTCCCCTCAGCCTCTTTTCCCCACACCAAACAGCCCCAGTTCCTTCAGTCTCTCCCCATAGGCCACATTCTCCAAGCCTTCCCCAGCCTTGTTGCCCTTCTTTGGAATGTCCTTTCTGTACTGAGGTGTCCAAAACTGAACGCAGATCTCAAGGTAAGGCCTCACCAGTACCAAGTACAGGGCAGGATGACTTCCCCAGTCCTGCTCACTACTCCATTCCTGATACAAGCCAGGATGCCATTGGCCTTCTTGGCTACCTGGGCACACTGCTGGCTCACATTCAGCTGACTGTCCAACAGCACACCAAGGTCTCTTTCCATCAGGCAGCTTTCCAGCCACTCCTCCCCAAGCCTGTAGGGCTGCCTGGGGTTGTTGTTACCAAAATGCAGGACCTGACACTTGGCCCTATTGAAACTCATACAGCATGCAAAAAGGATTGTTGCTGAATTTGAATTTGCAAATAAGAACTTGCAGATGCAAAGCAGTCCGAAGCAAACCTGGAAAAGGGCACAGAGGGGATGCAAAGTCATTGGCAGCAACCCTCCGGCTCCGCAGAAGCTTTGTTCTGAAGCAAGCTGCCTGCTGCTGTGAGCAGAGGCACTGGGTGTTTGCCATGGGTGAGAAACATGCAACTGCAGAGCAAAGCCCCGAGGCAGTGGCCCCGCATTTGGAGAAGCCCCCTCCACGGCAGTGCTCCTGCAGTGCCCATTCCTGTCCTGCACTCACTGCAGCTCACTCCGCCCCCAAACATGGCTGAGCTCCCGGGATTTTCCCTATAGGTGGGGACAGGGATTGCTTGAGAAGCCCTGCAGCACAGCCAGGGCAGTGCTGGGGACCTGGCAAGAGCCTTCAGAAAGTGCCCTGGGGCCGTGGTCACTTGTGTGGGAGAGGTGCAGCAGCAGCAAGAAGGGAGGGCACGGCACGTCCAGGGAGAGCGCGAGCCTCAAGACCAGCCAAGTTCTGCCCCAGCCCTCCATACTCACCCGCCTTCTGCAGGTTTCCAGGCAGGGACTGGGCACTGTGGGGACCAGGAGATATTTATCAGCTACAGGTAAATCTTAGCAGAGTTCTGAATTTCCCCTGCCAATTAGCATGTAATTAGGGAGACAAAAGAGAAACACAAAAGAAATCAACTTTTATCCACGTCAATGCCGATGACCTCATCGTCTGTTGTACAGTTCTGATCTAAAACTTTGGTCAGTTTTCTGTCTGTATCTTACAGTTTTCTATAGTTTTTTTTACAGTTTTTTATAGTTTTCTTGCAGTATCTTCCAGAGTTTGTTGAGTTACTTGCTCTGCACTGGGGCACGCTGTACCTCTCTATGCTGTTTCTGTGGTGTCCATGCAGTATAGCATCAAAGATTGATTTGGGTTGGGCAGGTCCCTTAGAGGTAGTCTAAGCCTCCTTCTCTGTCATTGCCAGGGACATCTTCCTCTTGATGAAGCTTCTTATTACATTTCTGCATCAAATCTTTGGCCATGTCAATTTCTGTAAGAAATTTCTGTAAGAAACCTTTGTTTTTTTCTTTTGGACTGTCTTAAACTCTATTAATCCCAACAATCAGTGAACATATCAACACTGATAGTTCATTTCCAACCGCTGCACTGGTCTCATGTCACTCCTTGTTGACTCCTTTGCCAATTCTGTGCTCCAGTGTCTTCCTGTTCTCTCTCCATTTGTATGCAAGCCTTCCTTGCGTTCTGCCTTCCCCTACTTCTCTCTCCTTTTTTCTCCTTTCCCTTTTCTCTCCCTTTTTCAAGTGACTTTGGTTCTTTCCTCTTCCTCTGTGAGGTACTTGGGGCTGAGTGAAGACCAGCAAACTCTGCATCCCCACCTGTGGCACTTGGTCCTGCTCATGGTGGAGAGAGGAATTCAGACACCGTGTGCTCTCACTGCAGCCTGCTATTACTTCAGGATCATGTTGACTTGGGGACTCCACAGTGAACAAGTGTATCAGGGACCCAGAAGCTCCTTAAGGAAGAATTCATCATACCTCCCTTCTCTGTGGCTCTATTAACAGTCTTTCTGAGAAGTGGATGGCTAGTAAAAAAACAACCACAGCATTTTCAGGATGGTCCATTCATTTTCCTTTATTCATTTTTCTCTCAGTACAAAAGGAAACAAAATAAGGGACATATGGAGAACAAGCAGGAGCCATTCCTCAATGTCACAGCCATCTGAAAAGTGCTTGGATCCATAGCGCACCTCTGGAGAATTCATTCACACTTCTCCAATCACATTAGGCAGGTATAGATTGTTTCCATTTTTATGAAAATATGTTGCCCGTCAAGCTCTAATAAAACAGAATCTGACAAAAATGACAAGGGATGAAATTGCTTTTAAGTCCCAGGTAGAAGCTACTTGTAACTTGCTTAAATGAAAATATTTTGAAATAAAATGTGCTTTAATTTAGGAGAAAAGCTTATAGCAAAATGTGCTTCGTAGAGTCCAAAGCTACAGAAATACAGACTACAAAGAGGACACTCCTTTTCCTCCAGTGTTAGCTGGCAATCAGAAGAAATCACACCACACTCCAGTGTATCATCTGCCAGCTGAAGGCCCTCAAGCAAAGCAGCATATGCTCTGGGTGAGCATCCTCTTTCAGCACAACTAGGAGTTAGGGGCAAGATGTAAGACGGCCCTGGTGCAACAGAAGATCTGTGCTGGACAGGAGGACAGACAGGCATAAAGTTCTCTCTGGAATTTAATACCCCACAAATGCAATCCCATAAACATCCCACGCATCCTCAGAGCCAGCGGTGCTGGTGGCTGGACAAGGTGCCACAGTGATAAACCACACGTCAAAGACAGCACAGTGATGAAAGCTTCAAGAGTGAGCAGGGCTCCCTGGTCTGCTGCTCTGGACAAGAACCACGGCTGCCTCTGTGTGCCCACTCCTGGCAGCTGTGAGGGAGGAGAGCTCTTGAACCTCTGCACTTCTGAGGTATTTGCTTGCTTTTCTTTGCTTCCATTCTCTCTGATGGAAATAATACATTTTCCTTATGCTGTTTTCCAAAATGCTTTTTTTTTTTTTTTTTTTTTCATAGCTAAACAAAATTCTGTGGGCTTTCCCCAAGGATTCTGATCCATTTAGCACTAAAAAAAAAGCACCCTATGACTCTTTGACTGCAAAGCATGATTCCACATGTATGTTGTGAGCCAGTGCAGAATTACACCCCCTGGCATTTCTGTTTTGGTCTTTTCTCCTTCTCTACCTGTCCCTCCCAGTGTTCATTGTTTTGGGTGCTGGGATGACTTTTCTAGACAGTGATAGGCCGTGTCCTCGAGGGGTTACCCAGCACTTGCTAAACCACATCTAGATAGCCAATCCAGTTTGGGGCCCTAGCACATAAAAGGCACTGACAGTGGGGAGAATATTCATCTGATAGCTAGCAGGGTGGCTGGGGCTGGATCAGTGATACTTGAGGAGGAAAATAGGCTTGTTCAGCTTCAGAGCTTTGGCTCTTCCCAAGATGAGCAGCCTTTCCCTGCCCATGAGGACGTAACTGGGAAGAGGAAGGCAGGCTTTCACAGCGTGGTGCAGTGGGAGGATGAGAGACACAAGTGTGAGTTGAAATGAGAGGTTCAAGCCAGATAAAAAGAGGAAAAAAAGTCATAGTAAGGACAGTCAATCATTGCAACAGAGGCCCAAAGATGCTGTCCTACATCTGTCCTTGGAGGCTTTCAGCAGCAGACTGGATGAACAGCTTTGCTTCCTTTCTGACCCTGAATCTGACCCTGCGCCGATCGGGAGTTTGGACTGGAGATGTTTGGAGCTCCCTGCCAACCCGAATTGCCCCATGGATTCTTTGATAATATTCTGCTGATGGAGATAGCAGTGTTCAAGAGCTCCTGGATCTCCTAATGGAGCACAGATCACGAAAGTCCCTGGTACCTCTGGTCATCTGTGAGATGTCCTGACATGAAGGGTTTTGCTCCCAGATGACTTCCTCTCTGTTACTCACCTGTGTAGAGACAGCCAGCTAGAGATCACCCAGCCCTCTCACCAGAGGAATTCCAGGGGCTGCTCCAGAGTCGATCTGTGGGAACAGCAAACACATTCCTGCCCGTGGCAATGCAGCCCAGATGGCTTCTGAAGATCTCCAAGGAGGGAGACTCCACAGCTACCTCGGGGATGGAGAGCACAGTTTAAAATAGCCAACAAGCAACAAGGCGAGAGATTAAGCCAAGAGGGAAAAGAAAGGATTGCTTGGATCTTTTTCTATTTACGAAGAAGAAATCATTTTTACAAAGACGAAGTACATAAAGATTTTCAATGGATTGGGGAAGGAAAAGATATGAGAACATCTTTAAATCAGTGTGCTTCATTGCAAGTCCAATTACACAACATCCCTTCCCAAGGTCTTTAACCTTTTTCCAAATTATGAGATGATGTCAATGAAAAATGTCTTGCACATTGTTCTTTTTTTCTTTTCTATTCTCCAGAAAAACAGTGTTGGTAAGCTACATTTCTAAGCATGTGCCTGTGGATTGGTGAAGGCCAGCCTAAACAAATGCACTTCACTGCATCATCTTTCACATCTTCATTGGCTCCAAGACTTGAAGGCTTCCATCACATTTAAAGAGTTTTATAGCTTCCCACTGAAAGAAGAGTTGTGAGACTCTTGTGAGGAGAGGCTATGAGATATTCTGATTTAATGCAGAATACCTTGGAATTGTAAGAAAAATCTGGAAGGTGGAGATCTTGAGCTCATTTGGAAATTCATACACGTGTGAAGTCAAAGAATAAAACACCTTCCACTAGGAAATAGTGATTCGTTCAGCTGGGACTATCCCTCACATTTACAACTTCCTCATTTCTCTCTTGAGAGGCTGGTTTTCCAGAATATAATTATAAATGAAAATTATTTTCACAACCCCTGTCAATAGCTGTGAGCTGTGAGGGGTCGGAGCTGTGTTAACTGGACACCCAGTAGATCAGAACAGGACTATAGAGGTGGAGCACTTTTAAAGTGCATTCCTGCACCTTTAAGGTTACCCGCAGTTATTTCACTTAAATTTTAGCCAAAAACTTTGCTAAAATGTTTTTGGACAGTGAGCACATCACGAGCAAAACCCATGAATTAATCTGAATCATTCAGGAACGACTGTGGCATTCACTCAGCTGTGCAAATTAGAGAGGAGATGGGGACAAAGAAGTGCAGTGTCAAGACTCCGTTAGTTTGCTGAGACATTTTTTCTGCTGGGTCAGGGTTGGATTTGGATCATCATGGTAGACTCACTCCAGGTTTGGTGGAGTAAGCACTCTTGGAAGCAGTTTGCAGCTGTTATTTTCTTTTTACCCTGTGATAGCACCTTAGAGGATCCTACAGGGTGCTGAGTGCTGCACAGAGGACAGCCCCAGCTCCAAGGACTCTGAGTGTAAAACAAGTTGAGACAGTGAGTGGGAACAGGACACAACATCCAAGCACAAGTCACTGGGCAGTTCTGTTGTTGTGTATGTGAATGAAATTTAGGATCCTCCTCTGTATCTCTTTAGTCCTCACCCCATAGATGATGGGGTTGAGCACAGCTGGCACAAGGATGTAGATGTTCCCCATGATGATATGGACCAGCGGGGCCAGATCCTTCCCAAACCGGTGCACCACTGACAGCCCGATCAGTGGCACGTAGAAGGCCAGGACCACGCAGATATGGGCAATGCAGGTGCTGAACACCTTGAGCCTCTCCTTCCACGATGCCAGCCGCAGGACAGCCTTGAGGATCAGGAAATAGGAGATGCAGATGAGGAGGGCGTCCAGCCCCATGACCAGCAGGATGGCGGTGAGGCCATACACCACGCTGGGGGTCGTGTTGGCGCAGGCCAGGTTCATCACGTCCTGATGCAGGCAGAAGGAGTGTGACAGCACCCGTGAGCTGCAGAAGGGAAGGGGCAGCAGGAGCAAAGGCAAGGGCAGGAAGAAGAGAACTCCTCTGACCATGGCTGCCAGCCCTATTTTTGCTGTCGTGGCGTTGGTGAGGATGGCAGCGTGTCTCAGCGGGTGGCAGATGGCCACATAGCGGTCCACAGCCATGGCCAGGAGGATGGTGGACTCAATGGCCGAGAGCGTGTGTATGAAGAACATCTGGACGAGGCAGGCTCCAAAGCTGATCTCCCTGGTGTTGAACCAGTAGAAGGCGAGGACACGTGGCACCGTGGAGGTGGACAAGGCCAGGTCGATGGCAGCCAGCATGCAGAGGAAGAAGTACATGGGAACGTGCAGGCTGGGCTCCGTCTTGACGATGAACAGCACCATGCAGTTGCCTGCGACAGCCATAACGTACACGGAGCACAAAGGGATCGCCATCCAGAAATGGGCAGCCTCCAGCCCTGGGATACTGGCCAAGATGAAGGAGGATGGGCTGAGGTCAGAGCTGTTGGGGAAGGGCATGGCATGCAGGGTGAAGAGCAGTCATGCTATGCTGTGGCACGTCCTCTGCTGCAAGGGCAAAATCAAATAAAACACATTTTTATTGCTCCTGCACAGCTCCAGTTCTGCTTGAGCCTTTCCCGTATGCGCTACGCTGCCATCAGAAACATAGGCTTTAATCTGCCCTTCTGTTCACATAGATCAGAATTTTAAAAACAGTGGGATTTAAAGCTGTTAAGGACAAGCACCAATTCCTGAAACAACAGCAGTGTCACCACCACATAGCTGTACAACCCCAGCTTCCTGGGGCAGTCTGGGAGGGCTGGAACAGAGGTGCAGACCCTGCCTGAGTCCCACAGCAAGGCTGTCTGCAGCATCGCTGAGCTTTCTGACAACAAATTCCACACCCCACCCATGTAAAACAGGGATGCTACACATTTTTACTACAGATTACTAGTCCAAATGGTTCTAAAAGTAGCATTTGTTTGCAGAAAACTCTGTTTTTACTGCACGTCTGTGTTGAATCACTCATCCTAAAACAGAAATCATAGCTCATTTCCCTGATGGGACGTTATTCCAATCCTGACTCTGTGATAAATAAAACTCACATGCTGTTTTTTTGTACACAATTTACAAACACAGTAGGCAGACTGGTGGTATCAAGTTGTTTGAAAGCTATTCTAGCAAGGACATTTGCAGCAAACCACTTACACCAAGGTGCAAGTGGGCACCGAGATGCAAGCAGAGTGCACAAAACGCTTCAGTAATTGCCAGCAAGTGTCTGAGTCAACTTACCTGCACCCACCGAAGTGTAAGGACAGCATGATTCTCATTGCTAAAACTCTGCCATCCTATTCATTCCTTTTGAGAGAATGCAACTGGGAGAGACACAACAAGTCAACACTCCCTGGACGTTTCAGTTGATCTTTAGTCCTTCAGCACTGAGGAATGCACCAACGTTTTCAGAAATGGCTAATGGCTTTGGACTGCTAGTGTGACCAACACCATCCATAGGAGGAGCTTGCTTTATGCAGAGCAGAGAGCTGGGTCCATCCATACCTTTAATAAAACAGCAGGGAGTGCAGATTTGCTTTCCCTGGCTGATCCCCAGTGGCTGCATTTGGCAGGAGGTGAGCACATGCAGGCAGAGAAGCCATCCCAACCAGAGGACCACTGACAGCAACCACTGTGGCTGATCTCAGAAAATACTCATAAACATTGACCAGATTTGTCCCATGGAGTGAACTCCCAAGAATAAAGCAGGTGGTGGAAAAGCCTTCACCACTGAGCAGTCCTCTCTGCTTTTCCCATCCCGTGCAGCAGTGAGAAGGGAATGTGTTCCATTTCCTGCATCTCTTCACCTCCTGTACACTGTCTGCCAAGGGTTTTGAAGCGTGTATGTTCAGATTTCAGAACATGGGCACTGCTGGGGAATGGGCTGATATTGTCGTAGTGCTCGGTGCTGTCTTCCTCTGTTGCTGGAGCTGACCAGAATTTTTCATCTGAACTTTTTTTTCCTTTAAATTCTACAAAGCCACACTGGCCGTGTGTTTCCTCCTCCCCTTCCACTCCTTTTTTTCCATTCTGTTCTCCTGCTCCTCCTCCATCTCCTCTCCTTTCCTCATTAAGCCATGCCTGTGATGTGTCTCGCACTGCCCTCTTGATTCATAGGAAATAAATCCATCAGCAAGTACTGCACATCCCATGATACAAAGTGCAGAGCTCAGAGCATCACAGAATAGGAATTAGTAGGTTTAAGTGGCTCGTCTATCTTTTTTTCACTCCCAGATGTCAAACCACAATTAATTTTCCCATTCCCAGAAGCAGCCACTAAGATCTGTGAGTGCGTGTTCCTAATGGACAGTGCCTTATACCGGTTCTCAGATCCTGAACACCTGCCTGGTGCCCTCCAGCTGCTCCATTTGGGAAGGAAACACAAAGGCAGATGAAGCTGTGCTGAACTGGGTGATGGAGGTGCATCAGATGCACTGCATCCTCACTCCAGCATGGCTTCCAGCTGCACTAACACATACCCTATGCATTTCCTCTGTCTCACCACCACCATCTGAATGCACGTCTCCTTGCTGGAGCACCTCTGGCTCCTCTGGCTTTTGTTGCTTCTGAGAACAGTCTGCAAATTTTCAATTTTCAATCAAATTTTCAATTTCAAAAAGGATGTGTGAGGATCCTGCTAGCTGAGCATCTCCAACCAAGGCTCTTTTGTAAGCTTTCCTGCCATAAGACTTACTTGTTCTCCTACTCCTCTGATAGCAGCTGGCCCCAGCACCAGCCTGGACCGTAGGTATTCTGAGCAAAGAGCTCCCACCAGGTGCTACTCAATGCAAGCAGGAGCTGCTGTGCCTACTGTTTGGACAGAAGGTCTTGTGGTGTTCTACTGAACAGTATTTCACCCTCTGTGAGGACCCACAGGGACGCTGCAAAGTAATTAACACAGCACAATGCAAAGAATGTCCTGGGAATCCTCCCCTTGGGAATCATCCCTTCTCCCTTTCCGTTTTCTCATGGAGAAGTACTCTCATTATTCTTTTCTGTCTTTATTAGAAGTGCAGATATGAATAGACCAAAAAAAGATGAAGACACCAATTCTGGGTTAGTCTGAAGTGGGGAGAAGCTTAGCAACAGCCCAGTTCTGGTATGCAGTGCTGTCCCAATACCCTCTGCTTCTTCACCCCCACAGGGTAAATGAAGACCATTCCTTCTTTGCACAAAGGCCCAATCTGCCCCAAATGTGGCTTAAAACCAATGAAAGTGCAACACAGGAGGTGTGGAAGATTTGGGGCAGTTTCATTCTGTCTGTGGGACGAAGCAAGACAAGAAGGTGGTGAAACCCTTCTGCTTGCCTGGCTGAGATCCATCTTGGTGAAGAGCAAGATGCTTGGAGACACTGCCACATCCATGTGTGACCTGACCCTGGACACCTCCATTTCCCATCCCTGTGAGGGCAACTTTTGGTGCCTGATGGATCTTAGCTGGAAGGCTGTAGCACACGGTCACTAATGTCAGGAGGATTAGCCACTCCTATTTAGATTGGAAACCTCTCTTCAGTGAGAGAGCTATCCACACCTGACCCCCAAGCACCATCTGATGCACACCTAACTCATACAGTACTGTACTCAAGTACAGCAAATCCTGAAGGCTTCAAACAACTCCAACCTATTAGATAAATAGAAAAAAAAAAAGGCTTTGTCTTCTTTTTTTCTTTTTTTTTCCTTTTCAGTGATACATGTATTTTATTTTAATATATGGTAGACATACTTTACATTCAATACAAAAAAACCAATGGCTTGAATATTAGACTTGGTAGGATAGTAAGGCTCAAAGAAAGCAAGAGGAGATGCAGAAGCAGCACTGTGTGTATGGCAGTTTAGAAATACAGATGAAGGTTAGGGCTGAGCCGTTTGTTAAGTGAACCAAGAGTTGTGGGTTCACTTACAATGATGTCATCTTCCAAAAACGCTCTGTGCTCAACCTCTGGAAATGATCTCTGTCCTGTGGGGTGTTTCCAGTTGAACAGAATTACTCACTGTGATATCCAGAGTGACTTCGACTCGTTTGGCCTCTTCCTGTCCTGCGGAGTTTGTGGTCTTGGTTAGTTATGCAGCAACATGCAATGAGGGAGCAATGATCCCATGCAAGGGAGCCCAGGTGAAGCTTGCATATGATCTGGCTGCTAGGTTCCATGAAATATATCGCAGAGGTTCCTTGCTCTGCTGCAATGTGTGACTCAAAAGGAGAAGCTCGTTTTCCTGTAATTGTTTCCCCAAAAGTGTGGCTTCCACACCCGGGGTGTGTGCAGGCTGTTGGAAAGGACCAAGCCTCATGCTAGGATGAAATAGGAAAGACCACAGCTCTGGGTTGAGGGATGAGCAGCTCCTTTGCCTGGCAGTGACACCCATGGGTACAGCACTAAGAAACCGGTCCAGTAGTTCTGAGCACAAAAATGTCCACCAGCATTTTCTGGCAGAACTGGTGGCAGAGATTACCAGTCAGATTCACACTTCCTCCTCAGTGCCCTGAACAAAGCCTCACGGATGTGGCTGGACTTTATGCTGTAGATAATGGGGTTGAGAGCAGGTGGGATTATAAGGTAGGTGTAGGCCACCAAAGTGCTAACCAGAGGAGGAAAGTTCTTTCCAAAACGATGAATCATGGACAGTCCAATCATTGGAATGAAGAATATTAGCACAGCACAGATGTGGGAGACGCATGTGTTCAAAGCCTTGAGACACTCCTCCTTAGTCGCAAGGCTGACAACAGTTTTAATGATCAGGATGTAGGACAGCACAATGCAGATAAAGTCCATCCCTACCATTGAGAACAAAGCAATCATACCGTAGAAGATATTGACTTTTATATCTGCACACGCTAGGTTCATGATATCAGGATGGAAGCAAAAAGAATGAGAAAGCTCGGTCTTCCCACAGTAGGTTAACCTCTTTAGCAAGAAAGGTATTGGAAGAAGGGAGACCGTGCCTCTCAGTATGATTGTCAGCCCTATCTTTGTGACAGTCGTCTTGGTCAGTATGGAGGGGTACCTGAGTGGATGGGAGATGGCAATGAAGCGATCAAACGCCATTGCCAGGAGCACAGAGGATTCGATGAAGGACAGTATGTGAATGAAATACATCTGAGTGAGACAAGCATTAAAACCAATCCTTCGGATGTTAAACCAAAAAATGCCCAGAGTAGTAGGCAGTGTACATAAAACCAGCCCCAGGTCAGTGACTGCTAGCATGGACAGAAAGTAGTACATGGGTTCGTGAAGACTTTGGGTCTTCTTTATGACGAATAGGATGATGCAGTTTCCCAAGAGAGCAACAAGGTAGAGTACACAAAAAGGGATGGAGATCCAGTGGTGAAAGGCTTCCAGGCCTGGGATGCCCATCATGAGGAAAGCTGAAGGCTGATAGAAGGAGCCATTGAATTCCCACGTGGAATGTGAGTCATGCTCCATCCCAGCTCAGATCTCACATGACCTATACCTAAAACAAATCAACAACAGAAACTCCACAGTTGGATTCTCCACTGCATAGAGAACTGTGCAATGACAAGCCCCACATTCTTCCACCTCCCCACTGTGCAGATGCCTCTGTGTCACTTAGGACACTGTCATGATTACCTTAGTGTTGCATACGACTACACTCTCAGCTGACCATTAAACTGTAAAATTATTTTTAAAAAAGAATCCACTTTTCTTAAAAAATACAGACGTTTTTTACCTGAATATTAAAGTTAAAACATTCCTGGTGAGTGCAACTACTGGTTTTTGTCCACAGATTCCACAGGCTGAGTTGCTCTTTTGAGTAAATGCTTTTTTCACAGTCACCCCAACCAAGACTAAGCTGTTAAGAAACCGACCAATGTTGGGTGCTAACTGGAGGTGGAAGGACCTGAGGATGGGAAAAATCACACTCTGGTGTCTCAGTGAAGACTTCAACGTTGGAAACAGATGAGAAACACTAATCGAAGTTTGATCGGTCAGACACAACTGCTTTGTTGAAGGACAATAAATAAGCATCATATATTTATCGTCTCCATCAGTGCCCTGGATGAAGGGATAGATTCCCCTCCCAGGCAGGTTTGCTGATGGTGCAAAGCTGGGAGGTTTGGCTGACACCCCTGAAGGCTGTGCTGCCATTCAACAAGACCTGGACTGGCTGGAGAGCTGGGCAGGGGGGAACCTGACGAGGCTTAATGAGAGGAAATATAGATTCTTGTGCCTGGGGAGGAACAGCCACAGCATCAGTAGAGGTCTGTGCTGAGCTGCTGGAGAGGAGCTCTGTGGAGAAGGACCTGGGGGTCCTGGTGGGCAGCAGGTAACCATGAGCCATCAGTGTGCCCTGTGGCCAAAAAGGCCAATGGCATCCTGGGGTGCATTGCACAGAGTGTGGCCAGCAGGGCGAGGGAGGGGATCCTTCCCCTCTGCTCTGCCCCAGTGAGGTTGCATCTGGAATACTCTGAGCTCTCTGGTCCCAAAAAGATCCCCAAAAGGGATCATTTAGAGAGAGTCTGGTGGAAAGACAAAGGCATGAGACAGGGCCTGGAGCATCTCCAATATGAGGAAAGCCTGAGAGACCTGGGTCTGTTCAGCCTGGGGAAAAGACTGAGAGGGGGCCTGATCAGTGTTTGTAAATATGTGAAAGGAGGTGGAAGGCAAATGGAAGAGGCCAGGTTCTTCTTGGTGGTGTGTAGCAATAGGACAAGAAGTAATGGCTTAAAACTGGAACATAGGAAGCTGTGTACTAACACGTGGAAGATCTTCTTCACGGTAAGGGTGATGGAGCACTGGCACAGGCTGCCCAGAGAGGTGGTGGAGTCTCTTCTATGGAGATATTCCAGACCCATCTGGATGCCTGCTAGTGCAACCTACTGTAGGGAACTGCTTTAGCAATGGGGTTGAACTCAGCACTATCCATACTGCATGAGAGACAGTGCACTCGAAGATGCTGGAGAAGCTAACGGTGCTCCTGAGCTCTCTCTGTGCCTTCTGTGACTGAAAGACTGTTGGTGTGGATGGGGAAAAACAGTGGAGGTGAAAAACAAGAGCTGATTAATGAAAATAAATATTTGTGGCTACAGTCTTAATATGCTTTCTGTAGGGTACAAAGCAAGCAGGTCAAAAAGTGCCTGAATTATGAGCAGGAGGGTTTACTGCAATGCGGTTCCTTTTTGAATAAACACGCGTATCCTCCACGATGTACCTATTATGTTCCTAATATGATTTAGCCCCATTAAACTCTCAGCCTGCTCGCAACCGTGGCAATGAAACCCAAAGCTTAGCAAGGACAAACATCTTCCTGCTCTGGGGCCAAAGCAACATGTAACTGATGGGAAGTGAGGAAGAGCCCCAGAGTCATTTCCTTTCCTCCAGGGAGCCCAGCTTGGTTTTCTTTTCAGCCACACATCTCCACGACTTGCCTCGGTCAGCAGGCAGCCCCGTGTTCAGGAAGAAGGCAAGCCACACTTCATCCAAGGCAGGGGGGCTGGAGATGGATCGTCTTCAAAGCCTGTTCCAACCCACACCGCCCTGCGGTCCTGTGATTCAGGAGGACCCTGGCCGTGCAAGGCGCAGCTTTGGCCACGTCCAGCAAAGGGCAGCTGTGCTTTCCCTATTGTGGCTGACGTTGGCAAAGGAAGAGGTGCGGGGGGACCTCGGGTCCCAGCTCACAGCTCGGTGCTCTCTAAGGTGAGAGCCATCCGCTCTCCCCCTTCCCGCTTACGCCACAGCATTTGGTAAGTGAGAATTAACCTGCTGCCGTCCAGACTCACCTGGAGAACGGGGGAAAAGAAGCAACTGTGTGCAGGCATTGGTGCCTGTCTGCCTGTCTCCCTTCCAGCAGCCTCTGGCAGACATCCAGGACTCTCAGAGATATTGGGATTCAACTGCTTTCCAGCAATATGGAAGTGGATAAAACAAAAGGCTGTTAGCATCCACTGGGAAAGGGCTGGGCGTGAGCAAACTGTGGGTTGATTCTCCTTCTACAAGAAAGCCTTGGTGAAAAACTGGCTTTGTCAGACACTGGAAACTCCTGCCATGCTACACAACACCAAAAGAAATGGGCTTTCCTGGCCGCTGAGCTGTTCTGATTTACAGTGTGCTCCTATGGGTTATAAAGAGTGATCTCCTTCCAGGCCGTTTTTTCCCTCCATGTTTTACTTGTGTATGCACAAAAATAACATAAATATGTATACAGAAATGTACAAAATGCTTAGAATGTATAAAATATATAATCACACATCCATGTTTTGTACATTTACATATATAATACTTATATTATACTTGCATATATACCACATAGCACAGAGGTGTACATCCATGACCCAGCTGAAAATTGTGGGACAGCACTTAGAGCTTTGATGAGCCCTGATGAGGAAATCAACATCCACTTATAGGGCATGAATTGAAAGATTAATGGCACCTCCTGAGCAGTGCTCCTGGCCAGCCCAGAAGGATGTGGCACTGCACTGCAGGGCTGTGCTTCTGCTCAGCATCCCGGAGCGCAGGGTAGGGGTTGGTGGGCATGCAGGTCCCTGATGGAGGGCACACGCCAGCGGTGCTGCTCTCTCCCCCTCTCCATCCTTCACAGGCCACCCCAGTGCCTGTCTCTGACCTCAGTTTTTGCCAGTAGCTTCAGCAAAGTGCTGGTGCTTTAGGGGCACCTCAATGTAGGCAAGTACAGGAGCTGGGAAGGGTGAGCCCAGCACATCTGCGTTCTTTTTCCCCAAGGGGACACTTTGTTGTTTCCACAACTGCATCCAGCTCAAGCATCCAAGTGGGGGCTCAGCCCTTCTGTGAAGTGATGCAGCCGGGGGCACAGCACCCGTAAGGCCCGAGTCCTGTTGGCTTTCAAGGCAAGAACAGGAATGTGCCATTCCCGCTGGCTGAGCCAGGCCACAGACAACGGGAGCACATCCCGGTTCGTGCACAAAGCCCAGAGCACAGCAGCATCCCAGCACTCAGCCATCCCACCCAGCACTCCCAGCCCCGAGCAGCATTCACAGCCCCAGCAGCAGCGGGATGTGCAACCCCCCCCACCCCAGCATCGGCCCAAAATGCCACGCTGGGATGAGCAGGGGCACAACGTGAGCGTGGCCGAGAGGCCATTCGTTGCTCAGGTACTCACCGGGTGCTGCAGCGTGGGCCTGGGATCCTTATGAGCCTGGGTTCTTTATGAGCCTGGTTTACGAGCCTGGATGCAGAGGGGAACAGCCCAGGTCGTGGCGTGGGGAGGGCAGGGTTTATAAGGCGCCCCGAGGACTGGCCTGGCCTGGCCTTGCAGCCAATCAATCGGAGCCACCGGAGCCCAACTCCCCGTGCGCAAACAGCGTGAGGCTGACGGGTGAAAATAGTGTGTGAAGTAAATGATCTTTCCCATTTATGATGCTCCCCTGGCAGGCACGGGCTTTTTTTTTTTTTCCTGATGGTTTATGGGGCGACGTGTTTATAGCTCCCTGTGATTTATGCCTGGCGATGCTGCTGCACACTGGCAATACTCGCCATTTTTATTGTGAGAATGGATCTGTAATGCAAATAATAATAAATTCTGCGAGAAGCATGCTTGCAGCATCTCTCCAGGGGAATAACAGAGGTGAAATGGTGTTGGCTGTCCTCCTTCCATAACCAGAGAGACATGAAATGTTTAATTAAAATCATAATGTGTTGCACAATAAAAACAAACTCAATATTACAAAACCAAACACAGATTAACAGATATCCCCTCCAATGTCCCAGCAGCCTGTTGTATCTAAACATCTCATGGTAATAAATTTAGCTTTACCACCTCAGCTGTAAGGTGAAAATCACTCTTAACCCCTATTGCTGTGCCTGCCAGACCAAGGCTTGTCAGAGCTAATCTAATAGTTTTCCCCCCTGGGCTGCCCCACAGCAGCGTGGCAGTGGGTTGGGGGCATGGAATAGACCCTGGAGAAGTGGGATTATTACACAATGGCTCTTCAACCCTCAGAAGTTACAAAAAAAGCAATACAGGATATATATTTATATATAATACTATGAGAGTGGTGAGGTGCTGGAACAGCTGCCCAGAGAGGCTGTGATGCCCCGTCCATCCCTGGAGGTGTTCAAGGCCAGGTTGGATGGGGCCCTGGGCAGCCTGGGCTGCTGTGAGATGGGGAGGTTGGTGGCCCTGCATTGGTGGGGGGTTGGAGCTTCGTGATCCTTGAGCTCCCTTCCACCCAAACCATTCTGTGATGCTGTGATTTTATGATTACACGATTCTATGACAAGAAAGGTCTGTCAGATAATGAAAAGGGAAGAGTAGATAAATACAGAATGTTTCTATTCGTTGCCCCTGCATGCTGTGGGAGATGGAGGTACGGGTATGTAAGGTGTTAGAAAATTCATGCAGAATGGATTCATCATTTTCTATTGAGTCTGATGGCCAAGGAGTGGCCTCCAGTTCAGGAAACCTCTATGCTGATTACTGGCCACTGGGATACATATAATGAGAAGGACAAACTGTAAATCACCTTCCTGAAGGCCATGAATGGCCATTCTTCAGTACAAGATAGCAGGCTGTAGGGACCCTTTCTTTCATCTAGTAGAATAGTTCTTATGGTCACCAGTGCCAACAAGGCCTATCCAGGGAACAGCTTTACATCAGAAAGTGGAAGCTGAATGGCAGATGGCCATAAGGAGCACAAAGCTTGGAGCGGTGAGTTGAGAGCAGCTGAGATGCCGTGGAGTGGAGTCTCAGAGGCAGCAGGGAGAGAACAGAGAGCAGTGCAGAAAGACACTGCGAGGAGATGGGGATGACCACACCTGTGGGACTAAGACACCATCTTGGGAAGACAAGCCAAGGGGAGGCAGGGGGTGGGTGTAGGAACAGGCGTAGGGGTGCGTGGGCATGGAGTCACCACCACAGGTGTTTTTTCTGAATATCTCTCAGCACTGGTTTCAGCTGAGCTGAGCCTGTCTCAGGGCAAAGGCACAGAAGAGAGATCCTCCCAGGCTCCTTCCAGACCTGTTTTTTACACGTGTGTCTGGAAAAGGCATAAGCTGGAATCTCTTTGGAATGATCCAATCTGACGGAACAACACGGTTTCTCTTCCTCTGCTTTCCTTACAGCCCAAGTTACATGCACATGTTCACATTTCATGCACCCTGGAACCTCTAGTTTCTTTCCCCTGGGATTCTGACATCATTTACCCTACATGCCAGGCAGCTTCCAGCCTCTCGTGCTGGGAGAATGCGAACACACAGCACTGAGCCTGGAGGAAGCAATGATCTGGTTTGCAAACTTCAGCATCATCCCTGGGAAGGGCCGAGGAGAGCATTTCTCCTCCTCGCTTAGCCCACACATGCTGAAATGATGACCCACTTCTGGCATGGATGTACATTGGAGGTTGTCTGAGGGCCAGCGTGCTGAGCAGCATGGCAGCGTACATTGGCTCATGGAAGGGGCTTATGGGGTCTTCTGGAGACGTCCTGGAGATGGAAATAACTGCTCAGGGTTACCCAGCACAGCCGTGGCTGAATGAGGAACCAGACTCAGCCTTCCAGTATAGAACACTCAACACTGATCACCAGAATCTAAATAACCCTGTAACATGCCAACTGTACAGCGTAAGATTGATTTGTCTTGTGCCAGTATGCTCAGAATCTTGTGTTTCCCTCTGATTTGTGACTTGAGTCAACTCATGTGCACGAGGCTGCCAGCAGCAGTCTTTGAATAGTGTGTTCTCACAGAGCTGTGCTTTCTGGTTTCCTGCTTGATTCCTTTTCCCAGAAGCACAGAACGTGTATATATATAGGAAGGGATGTGAGGTGTCCATCTATTTTCCCATTCGAAAACAAAAAAAAACTTTCCCAGAACCACGTATGAGGGGGAATGCAGCTGCCACTTGGCACAGCGTCCGTCTGTTTGCTGGAAATGTTTATGGTTTGAGCCTAAGCCAGTCCTAATCCTATTTACTGCACGGGACAGAGGTCAGTGCTTGATATCCGATGGACTGTGAGAAAGGATGATGAGGAGGGGAGGAAGAGATGGGGGTTTGGTCCTCCCATGAAAAGCCTGTGGAAGTCGTTCAAATCAATGCTCATTTCAGATAGGCAAAGGAAACAGGAAAGGGCTTAGTAAGATCCAGGAGGTCAGACCATGGCTGCCTGAAATCACCGTACTGACACCGCTTTTGGCTTCACTCCTCTCTCCTGAGAGATTCTTCAGAGATGGGTGACAGACTGACAGTGAGCCCTGTCTGTGTACAGACCTGAACTGAGAGGTGAGAATGCACTGCTCTGCAGTGCGGGCGGGATGGGAGCCTGGGGCTGCAGGAGGGGTGCAATGGGATGGGCACAGGGATGGGGATGAGGAGGTCAGTGTTTCTGGCTGCTCCCTGCAGTACTGAGCACGGCACAGCTGGAGCACAGCTCTCAAACAAGGAGCAAAGTGTGCTGCTGCCAAGGTTTCATGTCTCTCCAAAGCAGCACTGGGTTGAAGATTGCTCCAGACCATGGAGGTCCCCTTCCACAGGGGGAGGAAGAAAAGCAGTGCATGTTCCTCATCCTTCTCTGCTCCAGAAAGCTTCAGAAATGCACAGCCAGTTGGATTGAACATGTTTGTTTGAACATGTTTTCTTTGGCCACAATGGCTGTGCTGAGCTGGACAAAATTGTCCCCGCTGCCTGGATGGAGGGGCTGCAGCACAGAAGGGATGTCCTTTCCTCCCTGGGAGGGTCATGGAATCACAGCATGGCCTGGGCTGCAAAGGAGCACAGTGCTCATCCAGCTCCAAGCCCTGCTGTGTGCAGGTCGCCAAGCAGCAGCCCAGGCTGCCCAGAGCCACATCCAGCCTGGCCTTGAATGCCTGCAGGGATGGGGCATCCACAGCCTCCTTGGGCAACCTGTGCCAGTGCCTCACCACCCTCTGGCTCAAAAACATCAGCCATCTGCTGAGGCCCTAAAGCAGCTCTGGGGAGGGAAGCTCAGCAGGACTGGCTCAGAGGAGCTGCACTGATAAGGGATCCCCATAAGAGTGGGCATCCCTGCTTTGGGGTCCCCCTGCTTGGGTTGCAGTAAGCATGCGGGGGCAGGATTCAGGTGAAGGGCAGCTGTTAGAGATGAGGTTATGTGAGTACTTGGATCAGGATGTGGAGAAAGGTTTTGCTGCAGACATCATCTGCACGATGCTGTGTGCTGTGTGAACGTCACCTTTTCACACCTGGGGATCTGAACATCACCAAAGGGAGAAGGAAGGTCCTCTCTTCTGTTCAGCCTGTTCTGTGCCTGGTGCTAACACCTGAGCAGCACCACATCCCAGCTTCCCCTTCTCTTGATCCCTTGCCAGTTCAGACCACAGAAGTCCAGCAACCATTTGAGATATCTCAGGCATTTCAGTGCAGGGCTTCTAGGCAACTTCCAAAGGCTGCAGAAGCCCTTCTGGCTCCAGCCCTGTGCTGTGTGCCCTGCAAGAAAGCACTGTGCAGTAGCTGTGATTAACCCCCCCAGCCCCTCCCAGGCTCTGCTGTACAACTGCATTTCTCTATTTAGTGTTTATCTTCCTGGTGCTCAGACATTTTTCCAAACGATTCTCAGTTTTTGTGAGTTTGCACCCACAGTGACAGCTCAGTTGACTTGGGGACAGTGGGTCCCCAATGGTCAGTGGGCACGATGGGATGGGTTGGGTCAACTCTTTTAGTGGGTAGATAACAGCAGGACAAGGGGAAATGGTTTGGAGTTGGGGGAGGGCAGCTGGAGGTTGGATGTCAGGGGGAAGTTGTTTAGAGAGAGAGTGGTGAGGTGCTGGAACAGCTGCCCAGAGAGGCTGTGATGCCCCGTCCATCCCTGGAGGTGTTCAAGGCCAGGTTGGATGGGGCCCTGGGCAGCCTGGGCTGCTGTGAGATGGGGAGGTTGGTGGCCCTGCATTGGTGGGGGGTTGGAGCTTCGTGATCCCTGAGCTCCCTTCCAACCCAAACCATTCTGTGTGTGATTCTGTGTGTGGTTGGGGTTGGATTTGGGGATCACAGAGGGCTTTCCCAACCCTAAGGATTTTGCGATTCCGTGATTCTATGATTCTGGGACTCAGTGATGCCTGTCTCTGTGATACCCAGAGGTGTGTGCAAAGGAACTCTTCATTCAGTGCTGCTGATAAAAGTCAGCTTTCTGCTGGAGACCTGCAGTCTCCAACTCTATTCTCCATTCCAGCCCACCCCATTTTAACTTCCCCACCTGCTGGACGACGTGGGTGAC